CTGATTATGAAACTTTGGCTGAATAGCGCTTGTTCCTGTCTCCAATGTGGCGACACATCCAGGAGCCGTCTGAGGAGAATCCCAGAATCTGACATCCTCCAGCTCAGGAAGCGCATATGATTACGCACAAGCGTGACGCGCCAACCCGGTCTCACAGTAAGACCGGGTTGGACCTGTTCAGGTTTACGCAGACAATCTTTACATTTAGAATTAGCATACAGATGTAAAATTAATGCAGTAAAATATAAAACTTTTTATTTAAATATCCATTCATTATTTTACAAGCACAGAGAGCCGCATCAGATGGATGGAAGAGCCGCATGCGGCTACAGAGCCGCCGACCCCTGTGCTAGCCTATATTGTCCCCAGCAGTTTTTAAACCCCACTCAAGTGTATGGTTATTGTCCCCAGCAATTCTGACAACAAACTGACACCCTTGCATATAAATCAAGGTTAAGATATATTAAAAGCGAGAGTTAAAAAGTGTGTCTTTAAAGGAGATTTAAAACTTGTGGTCCAGATCTAAAATGGTAAGCTATTCCACAGTGTCGGGAAAACGCTCTGTCCCCCCTAGACTTTAGTATTGACGGCCGAAGTCTCAGGAGATGTTTAGATGAGCATCTCAAGGCCCTCGAGGGAGCGTGAACAATAAGAAGCTCAGCCAAATAAGCAGGTGCCAAAACATGCAAGTCTTTAAAACATAATAACATTTAAAAAATGTTCCTGTATTCTACAAGGAGCCAGTGGAAGGCCGACAGGGCCAGAGTTATATGCTCTCTGTTTCCTCCCTGACAACAGACGAGCAGCTGCATTCAGTGACACCTGTAGGCGATGGATGGAAGACTTATCCAAATACGGAACTTGGTGGTAGACAGAAGAGGTGTGGTCTGTCCTAACGACTGATTCTAACATTAGTTAAGTGTATAACGCTATTAGACGTTTTTCTCATTGGGGGAAACTGATACAGGTAGCTTTTCTTTTCACTTCTCAGGGACATGTAGTCCAACACAGGAAGTGGAGAGACAAGCTCAAACAGGAGACTTAAAGAGCAAGTCACTCCCAAATCAACTTATTTTTTGTGATAAACTATATAAATGCGTGTCTAATTGTGCTGCAGACACGTGTAGTCAATAGTTTTGCACTTTAGTGCATTTTAGTTAAAATTTAAATTTTCTGCCTAAAACTGTCAGTGTTGTGCCGTTGTCAGGTAAAAACTCTGCACTGCATTTGAATTTAAATCTGCCATCGCTATTGGCTAAGAGGTACCCTAGAACATTAGCTGGTACCATATGATGTCACAATGTCGTTGTGAGCCTGCGTGTGTGTGTGTATTTGTTAGCGGCTCTGCCCTCTCAGTCTGCTAGGCAACAGCATTTGTTGCATTTTTCAAACAAGAAGTGGGAGCAGAGTAATGCTCTGGTAGGGGGTGACTTGCTCTTTAAGGAAACAATCCTGGAATCCGAGCAGTAAAAGCCTGTGATGAAATAATAAATAAACCTAAAATTCAGCTTTTTAAAAAAGGCAGATAAAGGCTGAGTAGAATAAAGAGGCTGAAATATGTGAAAAGGACTAAAATATATTCAAGTAGTGTTTGGAGGACAGAAAAGCAGTGCTGAAGGAGACTCAGTGAATTTATAGACTTAAAGTAAAAGAGGAATTTTATCTCCTGGGTTGTTGTGGTTGTTTTGATTCTTGAAGGGCAGAAGACAGCTGAGGGGTTTAATGTGCATCAAGGCCACAAATGTGAGAGCATCAATAAGTGTAGGTCACTTCTGCCCCCTGGGTGTGAGATTGGGCCTATCGATTCATCCCTTTGAAGAATACACCTTGCAACTTAAACAAAACATGACATAAAAAATAGTCTCAGCTTTCCTGAGATGCCTTAAAGCATCCTACACACAACAAAAATATCTACATTTCTGCATGTCTCTGAATGTGATAAATATTGTATTTACATAGAAAAGTGTTCCATACTGCTGTGTTTGGGCTTGGGTTGACAGAGGTGAAATACACTGCTGAGCATTGGAGTATTGATCAAAGATCATGTGATTCAGCCACCCCTTGCTGCAGACTCTGCTCCTTCACTGTCGGTATCTACTAACTTTTGATTGGCTGGAAGAGGCTGACTCAATCTGCTCAGAAACATTGTCAACCCAAATCTAACAAGTTAGGTAACAAGTCTTGTTTAGACCTAGCATCAGGCTGGCACTGCTGGCCGACTGCTGGCATGGCAAGTTGTATGCCAAATGGATATGGGCCAGGCCTCTTAGATGGCCCTGTTTGTACAACACATTCTCACACCCAAAGTGTCAAAGTATGACGCGTGTGACCAAGCGTCAAAATATGACAATTCGGGGTGCCCCAGCGCGTCAGGAGAGGACGCATTGAGGACGCACTGTCCCAGAGAGTCGGTATCCGATGCCCGCGGTGAGACGGACATTTGACCGACTTGTGAACTACTTAACCTTCCCCTCACCCCCATTCTAACCTTAACCAGCTTGCGCATGCAAAGCTTAATTGAAAATTACTGAGTTAAGGTTAGGATGGGGGTAAGGGTTTTCCAATATGATTTGTTTTGTTTTGATCTCTGTGAAGCACTTTGTGATTCTCTGTGATGAGTGCTATAAAAATAAAATGTACTTACTTACTTAAAAGGTTGACAATTCCTGCATAAAACTATTGAAACTGTGAACTTTTGTTGAATCATGGATCGGGATGGCTAGGGAATAATCTACTTTGGCCAAACAAAGTTAAAGGTAGAAGCTATCTGTAGAGTTCAGACTCCCTGAGGGAAAGGCAAGCTCGTCTCGCTCGTACTAGGAGAAGAAAATATCGGGGTTCCTTTGGAAATAAAGTTAGTAGCTGCAGGATCTTTTTTCATGTTGTCATTATTTCCTTGGACCCGTGGAACTAGATGTGATCCTATTTTCTCCCCAGATTGTAGAACCTGCTGGATGTTCCGGTTGGGAGGAACTGTCCACTTCATTTACTCCTTCCATTTGTTAGGGCTTTTATGCATGGTGAAAACTCCTCGGGAAACTCCTCTTAGCAGAGTGTTTGCTCCTGCAGAACCATTTGCTGCTCAGGTTGTTAAACAAGGAGGTTTAGACTGGGTCTTTACTCGGTTTGTGTAGCCTTCGTTAGGGCTTTACCATCGAGGCCAAACGTAAATTCTTGTTCCATTTAAAATGCATAGCTGTGATTTGTTCAGGCTTTCTCTCAGGAGTCAGAAAACACTGTCACACTTTGTGGTTCATCTCTTGACAAGACATCAGCTGCCAGCACTAGAGGGCTTCACCTGCTCCCACTGGACTTGAATCTTGCATTAGTCTGTTTTCAGACTCACTCCGGAGGACTTGGGCAAACAGAAAAAAAAACATGTACCTAAATATTCCCCACTGTCACCTCAACTGTTCATGCTCACAGCCTGAGATTATCTGAAAAAGAGAAAACAGGTTTTTGAACATAACAAAACCTTCATGATGCATGTGATGACGAGGTAGTGCTAGTAGCCCCATTGGCAGCAATGATTTAGTACCGGTATGTGTGATGCATTGACTATCATATTCAAGAAGTCCTTCACTCATATTTTAATAGATTAGCAGTGGTCTAGTAGGAATTAACGCCTTGTGAGCGGTTATCTGAGGGAAAAAAAGCTCTGGTGCACCTGTTTAAGCACAAAGAATTCAGCCAGAGGAGAAAGTGGCTTCAGACGGCAGGATTTGGAGTCTTATTTCCTGATCTTTGGAAATCCCGCCTCTGATTGGCTAACAGTAATTCAACTCTACTACTGACTCCTTTGAATGTGGATATTTTACCTCAGCAAACAACACTAACCTAAATAAGTTCTGCTGGTGGAGTTGCTAATGCTAACGGTTAGCTCCTACTCACCATTAGCATCTTATAGTCTTCTAACTGGTCTTTCCAAAAAAGCTGTAAAACAAATGCAGCTTATTCAGATAGCTGCTGCTAGAGTCTTAAAACGAACCTAAAGAACCAAGCATGTCACCCCTGTTCTAAAATCTCTACACTGGTTACCAGTAAACTACAGAATTGATTAAAGTGCTTCTACTAGTTTATAAATCTCTCAATGGCATGGGGCCAAAGTAAGTGTCAAATCTTCATCCAATATATATGCCCAGTAGAGCTCTCAGATCCTTGGGAAACAGTCAGCTGGTAGAACCTCAGTGCAGAACCAAACAGGGTGAAGCTGTTTTTAGTCACTACGCTGCTCACAGATGGAATCAGCTTCTACATGACCTCAAATGTGCCCCAACTCTAGTGACTTTAAAATCAAAATTTCAGGTATCAAAAACCTTCAGGTATTGATCAGCCTTTTAATGTTTCTTATGCTGCACCTTCTGCACTGTAACTGCTAACCCTTTGACCTTTTATCTGTTTGTTGAATCTGAAATTAATATCTACATTTCTTACTTTGATTAATTGTGTTTGCTGTTCTTGCTTCTGTAAAGCACTTTGAATTGCCTTTGTGTTTAAAACACTATACAAATAAAGCTGCCTTGCCTTGCCTTACTAGCCGAGATGTTCTCTGCTGTTTCCTGGATGCTAAACCAACAACAGTCTTTCCCGCCATGAGTCAAGATGGGTGAGTCCATGAATGTTAAGTGACAGTGGGACTAGATCTGTTGGGATTTTCTAATCCTAGAGTTTCATCATCTATTCTCTATCAGACGCTAATCCAGGAGATTGGTGTAGGAGACTATTTTCATGTCCAGCCTGCATGTTAAACTGAAAGTGACTGATCATTTTCAAAAATAATAAGAAAAAAAATAGTTTCCCAGTGAAGGACTTAAGGCTAAATGATTAAATTAAAGTCTTGGCTTTGTGTGGGATAAAGTTACTGTTCCAGTGCTATCTCACACACACACACACACACACACACACACACACACACACACACACACACACACACACACACACACACACACACACACACACACACACACACACACACACACACACACGCACACACACACGCCAATGCATTTTGTACTGATCCAAGGACGGAGGACCTCCCTTTCCTCCTCTCTTCAATTGGAGTAGGATTTTCAAAGCATCGGCTTCTTCCCACTCCTTTTCAAACTGACTATGTAAGTTTTTCTTTTGCAGGCTGATAACTACATCTGTTTTTTCTTGTTGCTTTCTAGTTTGCTTCCCTATAGATATTTGTTCTTATTTTATCTTGTATTTTAATGTTCAAATGAAGAATTAATTTATGCATTTTTCATTGGTTTTTCTGATCTCTCTGGTCCACTCTGCTTCAGGGTCTTTTCTTTACCTGTACAGCATATTTATGTCAGAATTAAGTTAAACTGATAGGAAAATAAGTCACAACCCTCAGCTACAAGAAAGATAAAAAACTAATATGATCAGATTCTGAAGTACAACAGGGTTCACACTTCCTTGAGTTTTTCTTCAAATAGCTTTTTGTTGACTTTGATTCTAAAAGTGGTGTATTGACTTGTTTCTCTGTGTTTTCTTTATTCTTAACATTTTCTTTTTTTTTCCTTCTGAATGGAACAAACACACTGCTGTAGATTTTTACAGGCGGGGCTTCTGCTAACGCAGCAGGAAGCCTCTCAACACATTGTGTCATTGGTCTCCACTTTGTTAAGAACTGTCACACCTGATTGATCGCTTGAAAAAAAGAGAAGCCATTGACTCTGCGATGGGAGCTGACTCCTATCACCCCCACGTATAAGAGTAAGAACTTAGAGCTGGTTTCTTTGCAGACACCTTGTCTACTTTTAAGACTAGGCTGAAAACATTTTTATTTGATAGGGCCTATGGTTAAAAACTGATGTTAGCCTAAATCTGGACAAGTGGGGGAGTAGAGGGAGGTGGAGTGTACAGTTGGTAAAGACGGCTCTCCCTTGCCCTGCCTCCAACATGCCTCCATCTAAAAGGCTAGGTTATCCAGAGTTAATCGTATTATTTTCTGCAATTTCAGCTGTTAACTTTATTTAAGAAGCTACAATGATGTTCTGCTGAGCTGTGGTGGCCTCATGGAGGGGGCCATCGGCTTGAACACTGCTGCTAACCACTTAAACATTCTCCCTCTCCTGATAATAACGTTTTACTTTCTTTGACATTGAATGTGCTACTACTAGTTTATCCGTTTAATTATAGATTCACTAGGATAAATACAATAAAGTTTACCTCTCCCCAAATAGAATATTTACTAAGAAATCACAATGTAACCATAGAAACATTACTTGGTATATATGCTGTGTGAGTGGATGGGTTTGTGTGTGTGTGTGTGTGTGTGTGTGTGTGTGTGTGTGTGTGTGTGTGTGTGTGTGTGTGTGTGAGTGTGTGCTCTGTCTTCTCGATCCCCAGTGAGTCGTGGTGTAGAGCCCTGCACTGAAACCCGACAGCCCGCGGGTCGGGCTTCGGGTCAATGACCTTGGACACGGGCCGGGCGCTTTTATTTTTAATCGAATTCATAAAAAAAAATTTAAACACTAAATCACTCAAGAAAAAATTCCCATCTGAACATCTGAGCTGGACACTGCTCAGCGCAGCTCACTGTCAGCGTGTACTACATAAGGTCCACAGCGAGCTGAAGATGTGGAGAGGGGCTTGGAGCGCATCGCAGAACCAGAGCGCATGCGGGAAGATTCCTCCGACTGAAGCGAGTGTTTTCCAAACCCTGTCTTTCAGAGAGACTTGTCACTTTGAAAATGTTCCCTGATTATGAAACTTTGGCTGAATAGTGCTTGTTCCTGTCTCCAATGTGGCAACGCATCCAGGAGCCGTCTGAGGAGAAGCCCAGAATCTCACATCCTCTTCAGCTCAGAATGCGCCGATATGATTACGCACAAGCGTGACCCGTCAACCCGGTCTCACAGTAAGACCGGGTTGGAACTGTTCAGGTTTACACAGGCAATCTTTACATTTAGAATTGACATACAGCAAATGTAAAATTAATGCAGTAAAATATAAAGCATTTTATTTAAATATCCATTCATTATTTTACAAGCACAGAGAGCCGCATCAGATGGATGGAAGAGCCGCATGCCAACCCCTGACTGAAACGCAGCTGTAGAGCCCTGCGCGGGACTGCTTTCTTCATCCCGCTCCTGCCCGCTCCCGCTGAATTTCTGACAATTACCACCCACAACCGCAACGTGTGTGTTACACTCCCGCCCGCACCTGCAGCGTGCATGTCTACTCCCGCCCTGAGAAATTATTACCTCACAATAAAAGAGATGTATTGAGTTTGTGTCCTCTCTGGTCCTGGAGAAAACATGTCATTTTATAGGCTATACCAGGGGTCGGCAACCCGCGGCTCTTCCATCCATCTGATGCGGCTCTCTGTGCTTGTAAAATAATGATATTTAAATAAAATGCTTTATATTTTACTGAATTAATTTTATATCTGTAAGTGAATTATATGTACAAATTGTCTACGTAAACCTGAACAGGCCCAACCCAGTCGCCAAATGGAGCAATTTGCTCGCATTTGGCGAGTGTTAATTTCGGACCCTGTTTCCAACACATCATTGGAGATGGATGGTGAGGCAAACCCTTACTACAGCAAAGGGCTCATGGAGCACATCGGCAAATATTTTCTTCCTCTTTCTGGACTATGGTCTGCAATAATTCAAATTCAAATTCAAAAATACTTTATTAATCCCAGAGAGAAATTGATTGCTGTAGTAGCTCAGAATAATAATAATAATAATCAAGTCATCAAAGAGTTATTGTATATTACAATGGCTGTTGGCAGGAAGGATCTCCAGTAGCAGTCAGTGTTGCAGCGAAACTGAAGAAGTCTCTGACTGAAGACACTCTTCCGTTGGCGGACAGTCTTGTGAAGAGAATGCTCAGGGTTGTCCATCATTTTCTTGATTCTCTGGAGAATCCTTCTTTTCATTATCTCCTCCAGTGGTTCCACAGTCATCCCCAGAACAGAACCGAATAATGTTAGGTACGCCATTTTAAAGTATACAAGTAATTAATTTATAAAATTAAATTACACACATCAATATTATTCTAATCTTCAAAATCCAAAGGTGACCTTGGAAGACATGGTACTGGGAAATTGTATGAGCAGTACCACAACAAATACAATGCCTTAAGAAAGATCAAGAGACAAGTAAGACACATGACTTTTAGTATATATACAAATTTGTGTGTAGTGATTGAGAAACGGCGGGTCCAGTGGAGTCATCTGTATTGCAGATCATACAACATTGCACACAACAACAATGTGTATCTTTAAAAAAAAATCACATTTAATGAATTCTTAATTTGATTTTTCAGAATATTACTGAGAATAATAAAATGCAGGGGATAATGGAAAAGAGCCAGTGGGATCTGAAACATATCCGTCTACGCTCGGGAAGGCTCACCAGGCTGGATGACTTTGTTGTCCAGTATCAAATCAGTCACGAAGCGCTGCTGAAGGAGTACGAAGACCCAAAAAGAATGCTTCAAAGAAAGGTTTGCAAAATGACTGGCTGAGGTCCAGCAATGCTTTGCCGTTTAAAAATGGAACATTAAAAAGAAGTCTTCTTGATGTGGTGGGATATTGAGGTGCCCTAGCCTGGCAAGCCAGACTAAATAAATGTATTATTAGTCTGGCCACGCTCCATTGATGGCTCTCGGTTGTGGGGCGGGTTCTATCGTTGTCTTTCAAATGATCTCTGCATTCCACTGGACAATGAATGTGACATACTCTTGTTTCACTCTGTTGCATCATCCCACCCACCAGGCATATAGAGTGCCCTGATTGGCCCACAAAGCGGATAAAGCTCTGTGATTTGTTCACTAAGCAGATAGAGCACTATGATTGGCCCACCATTATGGACCAATCACAGCTCTTTATGTGTTTGAAACCCCTCTAGAGAGCTGTGATTGGCTAGCCAGAGTCCTGGTAGGAGCTGCTGAGGTTCCAATGGAGCATGCCTAGACCATTCTTTGCAAAGCAAGAATTTGGTCTAGTTCATTAGGCTAGAGGTGCCCCACATTGTGATTTTATAGCTTGGTGGCACTGGTGTGTCTTACTGGCCATTTTTGTGTGTTTTGCTTTATTGTGAATTAAGGAAAATGTTTTCACAGGACTTCGCATGTAATTCCTAAACAATTTTCAATGACTAATATATTTTGTTCAGAAATTTAGAGTGGACGAAGAAAAATGGAAGGAACGTCGCCAAAAGAAGAAGGGGAGATATGTAACAGTACTCCGCAAGCCATTTCCTTTCAGGAGATCTTCAAAGACAGTATAAAATGTTGCGCAAATTTATTGTTCAGATATAAAGACAAATATTTTGCCTAACATTTTTTGCATTTCTTGTACACATTTATGTAGGTTGCTTCCTCTATGGCCCCGAGTTCCCCTGTGCAGACTGGTACAGTTGAGGATGTTACCTTGGAAACTCCAGAATTTCAGGTAGGATTGACAACTGCTAACATAAAGGATTCATCAAAGTAATAGTACCGGCTTCTTTTTCCATATAAGATCCTTTCTATGACACAGTAATCAGTCATGGGCACGTGTGTGAAGGGCAAATCTTATTTAATTACATGTTGATATTCATGTTCAATTCATTCGATGTGAACATCCAGGATTTTGGCTGACTAGTTGTAACCTCAACTTAAGTGGGAGGCACCAAAATTCAAAATGAATGCAGTGATTACATGGTAAATTTTTGGAATAACAAAATAAATAAATATGTTTTCCTCAGTAGAAACTGAATGGGAACAAGCATTCAGGAACATAGTTAAGAGTATAGGGAAAGTAATACTCAAGGGTGGCAGTAGCTTAGGTGGTAGACCAGGTCATCTACTGATTTGTAGGTTGGTGGTTTGATTCCTGGCTTCTCCTTGTCTGCATGACAAATTTTGAATGAATTTTCCAAAGACATATTGTTAATAACAGTCCATAAACCTTTGTTAGAAATAACAAAACCATGTTCAATAGCTGGTCAGATCTTATGTTAAGTGTGTTTTCCTTCAATGAGGAGGTCCTGTCTTTGTGGAAGAAAAGAGACACAGAGGTTGTGGTTTCTGTGCTTCAACAAACCATGGGACGTCCATAATTATCCGCCACAGTGATCTGCGAACCCTTCGACCACACCTGTGGCTAACAGGCGAGGTATATCAATGATTAATTTAAGCACTCATAACCACAATAATTAGACTGTGTAATGTAATTCAATTAAAAGGACATTATCATGAAATTATTTATCATTAACATAATTTAAAGTATATAAATAACATAGATTTGTGTTTATGCAAATTCTTTACGTAGGTAATTGAAGGGCTGTTTCATTGTCTGGCAAAAAAGGAGCAAAAGGGGATCTACATTATGAACCATTACACAGTGGGCTTGATTCTCATTGGGGATCGGACACAGCTTTCTCGCCAAAGCTTGCGGAACGTAAGATGATTGTCCATTGTCCATATAATTATGTTCAAATACATTTAGAAAGAATTACTCATTGAATGCTAACAGAATTCCACAAACTGTAAGAAATACATACATGTTTTCTTACAGGTAAACTTTGATCGGTGCCAGGCCATTGTCACGTTTGTTAACATAAAAAAATGTACACTGGAAGTTTCTGGTAAGCAACAAGATTACAACTTTAAAGTCTGTGTATTTTTTAATGATGAGATATTAACATTGTTTTAATGATTAATCTTTGCTACAGTTCATCAATGCTGTGAATCAAACTGTTTATCTCCTTGATCCTGCCACAAGTTCATCAGAGGAGGAAGACTCTAAACTCGCTGCACGTAAATTCAGGTAGTTAGGCTTTAACACATTTTGTTCTATGCAAACAGGCTTTACAAGTTAGTTTACTACAACTGCATTTTTGTAGAAGCTTTTTGTACCTGGGCCCACAATGCGTGCTTCTCTGTTGGCGTCCTCTTGGCCAGGTCTCATTTGCAAAATCATTAAGTACGGTTAAATAAAATTATGAGGTAAACAAATTATTTAGACAATAATTCTGATGGCAAAAGAGCCAAACGGGACAGGCCAATAAATAAATAAATAAATAAAATTCTGTATAATTCTGTAAAATACCTTTTTTTTAGATTAGGAAATATGACATATACCAAGTTGTATTCTGTTTTGTAAACATTCTGCTTTGTAATAATGTGCAGTGATCACTTGAAAATGAGAAGAACCTGCTACGCAAAAACAGAATGGGTGGACATTAAATGGAAGGGAGGTGTCTTGACCCATCCAGTGCAGAAGGATGGCTTCAGCTGTGGAGTATTAGTGGTGATGGTAAGTGATGATAATATACATTTGTATATAGCTTCTTGTTTGCCATGCCATCGTGCCATGGTCAGAAGAATATCCACATCCATAACAGTTGCTGTAATAGATATGAATACATCTAATTCTAAATTTCACATTATACTGCACAATTGATGTATATGGTTAATACTTTGGTGCCCTAAGTCAGGGATTCCCAAAATGTGGTGCGCGCACTCCCGGGGTGCGCGAGCTGCTGCTAGGGGGTCCGCGAGGTGAAAAGTGTGATGGCTGCGGAGCTCAGAGAAGTCTGTCAGATGTCAACGTTAGCGTAGCCAGAAACTCATTTGTGGGTGGGCCTAAGAAAAAGTAAGTGGGCACAATAAATGTAATTGAAAACAAGTATATTTTTGCGCGTGTGTCCTCCACATGTGCCCTAACTTCATAATAACAATGCGCTGAGCTTCAGCACTCTGGCCTGCGCACGCCGATATGTTCCGTATTTGATCATTTTTAACGGTGTTGGAGGAATCTGCAGGTGAGTCATTCTGGCAGATTGTAATTAACACCCTGTCTCATGCAGGTGTTCTGACATTGTAAACCTCACACACAGAACATTGTGGATGTAACTAAATAAATCAAGAAATGATTCCCATTCAGGCTATAACAGCGCGCTGCTGAAGATCTGAATTTCAGAGTGCATCTGTCAGAGGTCAGACGCGATCCAGCGGAACCACGGCTCACGGGTGCACAAGTGAGCACATCTGGGCTGGGCAGAAGTAATTTTACAACATTGGTTTAAATAGAGCCAATAAAGGGACGCAGTGACTTAAACGCTGCAAGTTGTGAAGCGCGTTCCATCCGCGAGCCGCATCACCAAGCGGAAAGTGAATGCGTCAAGCATAAACCAAGCTTCATGGAGCTGTGCCGCGCGCGCGCACACACACACACAGATTCAATAAGCACGCACGCTGCGCAAACTCCGGCGCGCCGTCAGACTGAGTGCAGAGATGAGCACTGCCTCCTCTGTGATAAAACTTTTAAGAGGTTTTATAACATTTTTCATTCCAGGTCAAATTAAGATATTAGCTTCTATTTTGGGATGATGTATTAAAGTCGGGTCCGCTCCAGCCAGTGACTCCTCATGAATCTGACCACAACTCCTGTTACTGCAGCATTTGTTATTCCAGTCCGCGTGGCAGCGGATCGCAGATTCAGCCACAACATAAAACAGCAATAAGTCGATCTGAGGCAAAAGTGAACCTCATGGCTATATCGTTTCCATCTTTTCCCCTATAAACATTTGATTACACACAAGTAGGTGATCAGCTCAGGTTTACGCAGAGCAGAAGGAAGGAGAGCGCTCTGGCCGCACAGGTTAAACGTTCCTACTTTAAGAAAACCGTTAAATTGCATTTTTATGTGCTACCTGGGCACTCTAAATATTTATTTAAAATTAAATCAAAGGAAATTGTAATGGTATCGAATGTTTATTAATTACTATTTAAAAAAATGAAAGTGATGGGGAAAAAGGTCGATCGTATTTTTTTTAACCCTGTCTGTTTAGCTTGACGTCTGATATATATATATATATATATATATATATATATATATATATATATATATATATATATATATATATATATATATATATATATATATACAGTTGTGGTCAGAAGTTTACATACACTTGTAAAAAATATAATATAATGGCTCTACTGAGTGTCCTGTTATTTCTAAAACTCTGATTTTTCTCTGGTAGAGTGATTGGAACAGATACTTCTTTGTCACAAAAAACATTCATGAAGTTTGGTTCTTTAATGTCTTTATTATGGGTTAACAGAGAAAAGTGATCACATTTGCTGGGTCACAAATATACATACAGCAGTGCTAATATTTGGTTACATGTCCCTTAACCATTTTCACTTCAATCAGGCGCTTTTGGTAGCCATCCACAAGCTTCTGGCAAGCTTCTGGTTGAATCTTTGACCACTCCTCTTGACAGAATTGGTGAAGTTCAGTTAAATTTTATGGCTTTCTGACATGGACTTGTTTCTTCAGCACTGTCCACGTTTTCAGTGGGGTTTAAGTAAGGACTTTGGGAAGGCCATTCTAAAACCCTTATTCTAGCCTGATTTAGCCATTTCTTTACCACTTTTGATGTGTGTTTGGGGTCATTGTCCTGTTGGAACACCCAACTGCGCCCAAGACCCAACCTTCGTACTGATGATTTTAGGTTATGTTGAAGAATGTGAAGGTAATCCTCCTTCTTCATTATCCCATTTACTCTCTGTAAAGCACCAGTTCCATTGGCAGCAAAACAGCCCCACAGCATAATATTCCCACCACCATGCTTGACTGTAGGCATGGTGTTCTTGGGGTTAAAGGCCTCACCTTTTCTCCTCCAAACATATTGCTGGGCATTGTGGCCAAAAAGCTCGATTTTTGTTTCATCTGACCACAGAACTTTCCTCCAGAAGGTCTTATCTTTTTCCATGTGATCAGCAGCAAACTTCAGTCGAGCCTTAAGGTGCCGCTTTTGGAGCAAGGACTTCCTTCTTGCACGGCAGCCTCTCAGTCCATGGAGATGCAAAACACGTTTGACTGTGGACAATGACACCTGTGTTCCAGCAGCTTCTAATTCTTGGCAGATCTGCTTTTTGGTGATTCTTGGTTCACTCTTTACCCTCCTGACCAATTTTCTCTCAGCAGCAGGTGATAGCTTGCGTTTTCTTCCTGATCATGGCAGTGATGAAACAGTGCCATGCACCTTATACTTACAAACAATTGTTTGCACTGTTGCTCTTGGGACCTGCAGCTGCTTTGAAATGGCCCCAAGTGACTTTCCTGACTTGTTCAAGTCAATAATTCGCTTTTTCAGATCCATGCTGAGCTCCTTTGACTTTCCCATTGTAGCGTTTGTGGGCGTTTGTATCCAATGAGCCCTATTTACCTGGCCTAAGAGAAGTCACCAGCTGTAGTCACTCATAATCACTCACAAGAAGTTAAGAGGCCATGCTATGAAGCTCAGTTCACTGACACGTTTCTAAGTCACCAAAATTGCTAGTTCATGTTGCTGTATGTATATTTGTGACCCAGCAAATGTGATCACTTTTCTCTGTTAACCCATAATAAAGACATTAAAGAACCAAACTTCATGAATGTTTTTTGTGACAAAGAAGTATCTGTTCCAATCACTCTATCAGAGAAAAATCAGAGTTTTAGAAATAACGGGACACTCAGTAGAGCCATTATATTATATTTTTTACAAGTGTATGTAAACTTCTGACCACAACTGTATATATATATATATATATATATATATATATATATATATATATATATATATATATATATACCCATGCCCTGATGTGGGGGCTGGGGGGTGCGTCAACATGGTCGGGACATAGAAGGGGGTGCACGGCTAAATAAGTTTGGGAACCACTGCCCTAAGTCATGCAGATTTTGTGACTTACTCTTCATAGGATGTGCAAATATTGAGGCTGCACAGCGATTGCAGATAGTACTTATACTTATACTTTAAAGAGAGCAAGTCACAGTTGGGAATTATTTCCTGTGTCATAATGGTGCATTTATCATTCTCTCACTGAGCACGCTCTGGTGAATGGCTAGCACACCATGATGCAGGTGGTATGTATTGTCCAGCATTGTGGTTAACTTGGAAAACATCCACATCTCTAACAGCACCTTATGAGACTGTTTGACCACCCTGTGGACTCACTTTATTGAGTCTCTGTGGCAGTAGCATAACAACGGTTGGGACTCTCCACAAAATTTTTATAGAATATACAGAGTATTGCCCAGCAGATGTTAAAAGAAGTCAGCTACCCACACACTGGAAGCAGACAATAACCAATAACTAGTAACTAGAGATGTTCCCTATTTCAGTTATTCGTCAGCTTCAAAGAATATACATGGCTCTGGCCCTTACTGTAGAGTGCAGTGTTGTTTTTAACCCTGTCCACTTTGTTCTCTATGTTTACAAGGTATATCACATATTTATTCATCCACGATGTCCATTTCAACAACCCTGTACTGAGGGTTAGAAGCTACCTGGTGTTCATAAAGACTTAAATCTATTTATTGTTCTTTGTTTTTCATACTGTTTATGCAAGATTATAAACATCAGAAATTTTATATTGAGTACAATTGTGTCCTTTTTTTCACAATTAATATTTTGAGTATTTCTCTGTAGATGGCACGGGCAGTGATGAAAGTATTTCCAGAATTTCCTGTCATGAAATTTCAAACCTCAAAAGAGATTGAATGTATATGTGTGCATGTGTGTAGATTGGAATGTGTTAATCTGTTAGTAGTAGTATTATAGTGCACAATGGCACTTTATGCTGTGGTGTAATCATAGAAAGTTGTAAGTACACAGTTTAACATATACACAAATTGGCCTTCAAACGAATGTCTATGTTGAGGGTATGCCCTCGTGAGAAATTGCTGCGGTAATTTTCTCCAAAAGACTGTGCTAAATTGCTCTGAAAAGCAAATAATCACATCAGCACCAAGAAACTTCATTTCCCATGATGCTTTGCACAGGGAAGCAAGGTGATGACGTCACCACAACAACCAGCTCAAAAAACTATAAGTTTCAGCGAAAAACGTAACTTAACTGTTCTTATGCCTAGTTCACTGGCTGTAAAGGACGCTCATTGCTGCTGCTCTGATCAACGTGAGCCAGCGGGAGGCTGGCTGCTGGAGCAGATCGAACACAGAACCGCTGAACAGCAACTCCCTAAGCTGCTGCCACCAAACCTCACAGAGACGCACGCTGTAAGTTACAAACTCAGCACAACAAAAAGAAACTTTGCTCTCTTCCAGCCCAGTGGGAGAAACAACGGAGAAGCGTAAATCACATCTGACCAGGGAACACAAAGGGACGCCTTGTTTTGCCCGGGAACAGCTGTTATCTCCTGCAAGTTTTTATTTCATTTAAACTTTTACCTTTTCTCATCTCTTCTAGACCAAGATAAGCAGTCGACCGCGTGACATTGCTTCAAATCATCATACGGTTTTTCTCTATCTTCCATATCAAACACGTTATAGATATCTAAGCAAGGTCTTGAGTTTATTATTTATTTGATTTGGGTTTGTCGGTCAGCTGTGGCCAGGCTGCATCGACTCTGTTAGGTTAAATAATTTACGAGTGACCTTTGTTGTTTAAGAGTCTAAACTTTTGAAGTGTTAAAGTTTAAGTTACTGTGAAACTGAGTTTAAGCTAAAACTTTTTCTTTGTAGAGCTGGAGACAGACAGCTCATACACACACACAATCATTCCTCCAGCCTTATCAGACACGCACTCACAAGCACGCGCGCACCTGCGAAAACAAAGAACTCCATTCATACGCCTTTCACACACACACATGGTCTAATTTCATACACACATCTTCAATTATATAAAATTGTTTTGCATTATTAATCTCCTTGTTTAATTAAATGTTATAAAATTCAGATTTGTCTCCAATAGATTTTTTGTGTCGATTCACGTCTCTGCTCTTGACGGATTCCACCCTTTTGATAGACTGATAAGTGTTTTGGATACAATTTTTCCCCGGTAAAAGGGGATGGTGCCCCGAAGATTCCTAAAGAGTATCTTAATCAATTAATAACTTGGTAAATATTCCCATATTTACAGAATTTATTGAAGAATCCAAAAGTAATTAATTAATTACTAATTACTCGCTCCTAATTACCCCAAAATCTATCTAATGTGTTTTGATTCTGTATTTTAGTTTTTGACACTAACAGCAACTGTGCCATGTGTTCACTGACCAAGCCACCTGGATCAGGACCTTCAATGATGAACTGGGTGAGTTGGAGGGTATTTGAATTTCTCAAAAATGTGTAAAAGTCTTTGAGTATAAATGTATTTTTTTTATTTTTTGCTTTGTCTGTTTGATTTTAAATAGATACAATGTGACACCTGTGAAAGATGGTACCATGAGCAGTGCCTTGGCATGACCAACAATGACTTTAAAAAAGCAAAGGAAGAAGCATGGAATTGTCTCCTGTGCTGTTAAACCACAGACTTTTTGGATGCTTGTGTCAAAATATTTGAAGACGTACTCTGTGGTCTCCACCAAAGTGATAATTTGAGCAACATAATACGGCAAAACGTTTTTATCTCATGCGCATTTCCATGATGATGTCATTTACCTTTAAACCACCTTTTATGTTATCATGACTGCACGTTTTGGACTTTACAATTTACTCTCCTTGTATTGAGCGGTTACCTTTTTCTGGGATTTGTTTTCAAAGATAAACAGATTTACCTATGTTACTATCATACTCTATTATGAAAATGTATTTGTAATGTTATGAAATGGAACCAAAGAAAAGAATGTGTCATTAATATGTAAAGACAAGAAATCCACTTTAGTAAATTTTAATAAATTAAATCAGACTGACTTGATATTGATATGGTGCCACGGTGGGGTTGTATACTGTTGATATAAAGGGGAATTACCCTGTGGAAACAGCAACTTTCCATTTTAGAGCATTTTGAAATAACTGAAAATTAGGTTGTATAAGGGCAATTTTAAAAGGCCTTTATTTTGATACGCAACATCAGAATGACTTGCTATTCATACGGTATCACTGTGGGGTTGTATACTGTTGATCTAAAGTGGATTTACCCTGTGGAAACAGCAACTTTCCATTTTAGAGCATTTTGAAATCCTTAAAGATAGGTCAATTATGGACAATTTGAAAGGCCTTTATTTTGGAAGGCAACATCAGAATGACTTGATATTGATATGGTATCACTGTGGGGTTGTATACTGTTGATCTAAAGTGGAATTACCCTGTGGAAACAGCAACTTTCCATTTTAGAGCATTTTGAAATCCTTAAAGATAGGTCAATTATGGCACTCATTCTTGAGAGTCGGGACAAAACATGTCCTTCATAAAAACATGTACTTTAGGTTAAAATTAAAAATTAATTATCATGATTTACTTTCTTGCCATGTTTAATCTAAATGAAATCTTTATCTTAACTTCATTATTAGTGCAAATTTCCTTTCTCTTTAGAAAAAATATTGCTTTAATATTTAGTTTGTGCTTAGAATGTTTGTTATTTTATTTGTCTTCACCACAAAGTCACAATTTTCCTCGCCCCAAAAACTTGAAAAAAAGTGTAAAAATGTGAATACATAAATATAAATTGAAAGACAATCATTACAAATATGTGAAGCAATGCTTGAAGTAAACATCAAATTATATTTTTCATAAAAATCTGCTTGCCAAAGTTGTGTCCTCAGTTTCTGTCAACTCCGTCAGATTTTTCATAAACTTCTTTTAATCAGGCAATAGCATGGTCATCTTTGTCACCGAGGACCCTTTTGAGTTTCCCATGCTGTGCTGATAACAGCACTAGCACACCTACTCTGGTAAGTTTAAAACTTTGAGATATTTTACACAAACACTGTCAACATTTCTATGGTCACAACTGGACCATGTCAACACCATCTTTCCAATGTGATGTGTGTTTTTAAAAAAAAGGCAATTTAACTTAGGCATTTTAGTGAGATTACTGAGAAGCTAGCAACTAAGGAAAAAGTAGCTAGCTGCTATTTACAATGCATCTTTTGGCGGGAAAATACATGGCCTTTTGTCAACTCCGTCAGATGTCAACTCCGTCAGATTTCATGTCTGACGGAGTTGACATGTAAGATGACGGAGTTGACAAATCAACCTATAATGACCTAAAGTGGTAATAAAATATTATGTTTGATATTATTTTTATAAGTTTTTAATTGATATTCTAAAGAAGAAAAACTTGCATCAATGAAATTTTAATTTGTTACATGTTACAGTTTGTTATATTGCTCCTGTTCACTGACAAAGTGTCCCAGTCAAAAAACATTAAAAAAAATGATAAATTCATTCTTTTGCATACATTTTTGAATCAACTTGTTCCCTGATCATAAATACCAAATATTTGTATTGTAGGAAAGCATGGCAAGGCTGAAATTGTCAGTTGAGGAGAAAAGGCAAAGAAACAGAGAATACCAACAAAAAAGAAGGGAAAAAATAAATAGTGACCCAGAGAAGAAAAGGGCCACAAAAGAAAGGGAAAAACAAAGATGGAAGAAGAGAGTTGAAGACAAAAAAGTAACACAAATAGGCACGATGGGAAACAGAGCAAAGAGGAACAAGAGGAAGTATTGGAGAGAGGCACAGAAAAGGTCCAGACAGAAAAGGTCCAGTGAAGGTGCAGTCCTACAGACCGATACCCCGCCAGATAGTCCGCAAGATATGAATGGTCAAGAGGATAATGCCAGACAAAGACAGTTAATTAGACTGGAAAGGGAGAGAAGCAAAACAAGAAAAAGAAATTCCAGAAAAATACAAACTTTAAAAGAGAAGATTCACAAGTTAAGAAAACAACGGAACAAACTGAGAAAACAAATATGGCGAGAGAAGACAGCAGCAAATAAAACACCATTGGACTCCCCAAGAAAAGAGACAAAAATGATGCTATCAGGTAGCACAATTAGAAACCCAAAAATTAAGAAAGCCCTTTTATTCCATAACATCCTCAAAAGAGAGCTAAAGAACAATAAACAAACTCCTGGGCCACGGTGTCAAGAGCCAGCACTGGTTTTGTCAGGAAAGATTTTAAAAAAGTATCGGCTTCTTCACCAAATCCATCAGTTTGGATTAACCTACAAATTAATGAGAGAAAAGAAACAGACAAAGAAAAAGCCAACATTTTTACAAGGTATGACACAGACTGTTCAGGATTTCTTCCGGAACTGTGCACGCATGACAACAGATAAGACAGACACCATCACTAGGAACAAAATAAAGCACCAGAGAATGATCCTTACGGACTCCCTGATCAACCTCCACACTGATTTCCTCACTAGGAACCCCACTGTGAAGCTGAGTTATTCTTCATTCTGTGCTCTGAGGCCATTCTATGTAACAGCACCAAAAACATCTGATAGGAAGACATGTCTGTGTCAGATGCATGAAAACGCATGCCTAATGCTCGAGGTTCTTAGATCAAGAGGTGTTGTAAAGTCAAACAAACTGGAGGACAGTTTTCAGTTAGTTTGCTGCTCACCAGCAAGTGAGGCCTGCCTTCTTCGCACCTGTTCACGATGTGTAAATAAAAGTACCATTCCATCCCAAGAGCAAGACAAAATCCAAGTTCAGTGGAAGCAGTGGGAAAGAGTTGAAGAAAACACAGCCAATGGAAGTCATATCAACATTAAGCTAGTTCAACACAGTGGTAGTCTGTCAAAGCTTATCAAACTCTATGAGCAAAAACTCATAAAAGAGACCACAACCCATGTGTGTTTAGTGCTAAACCAATCAAATGCATATAGAAACACAATAGAGACATGTGATGAATGTACAGCAATTGTCCATGTTGACTTCTCAGAATCCTGGAGATGCAAATATCAGTCAGAAGTTCAGGCCTGCCATTTTGGACAAAATCTTCCTCAGATAACCCTGCATACTGGAATGTATTACATCAAGGGGGAAAAGGCTGGGTTTTGCACAGTTTCAGAGTCAAAAAGACAGGATGCTTCAGCAATCTGGACACATATGGATCCAGTTCTGAAAACTATCAAGACGAAATATCCTCACATTACCACTGTACACGTTTGGTCAGATGGTCCAAGTAAACAGTATAAGAACAAGAAGAACTTTTATTTTCTGTCTGGTATCCCATCTACACTTGGATTTGAAAAAGTAACATGGAACTTCTTCCCCACTTCCCATGGTAAGGGTGCCCCAGATGGCATTGGTGGAACAGTGAAAAGAACTGCTGACAACCTGGTACTTAGAGGAAATGACTTGACCGATGGAAAGACATTCCTTGAAAAGGTTTCAAACTGTCTGAGGGGCATTCAGTTGCACTACATTACAGAAGAAGACATGCAAATATATGATGCACTTTTAATCCAGCCTCTCAAACAAGTTCCACTGACTAGACAAATACACCAGGTCATCGCACAAGAGAACAGGATCCAGCACAGACAACTTTCCTGCTTTTGCAGCCAGATGTTGGTTTGCCTGTGCTTCAGTCCCACAACATTCTTTTTCCATGATTACCCAGAGGAACCGCAAAGTCACAAGAGAAGGGCAAAGAAAAGACCTTTGGCCGCATTGATAGAGGAGATGGAAAAAGAGGACAGTGAAGGGATAGAGGAGGAGTGGGATGAGGAGCTTCTGAAAGGTCCTGAAGGTACTATAAAAGTAACAACTGTTGGCGGCCTTCATGAAGGAGACTGGCTAGCAGTAGTATATGATAACCACTGGTGGCTAGCCAAGACCATTGCTGTCGATCTTGAGCATCAAGATGTGGAAGTGGAGTTTCTGCATCCCCATGGTCCAACAGAAAAAGTTAAACCCAAGCATGGCAGGAAGGATGTCTGTTTCTGCCCAGTTAAAGACATAATTGTGAAACTAATGGGAAAGGCATCACCAGTCCAATCAAGAACACGAGAGATCTACAACATAGTCCCTGATGTGATGGACTTCATAGATCGTGAGCATGCTCGCCGTCTGTTGCTGACATAAGTTCTATTTTAACATCACAATAGTTCACTGCACTAACACACACATACACATAAACCCAAACATAAACACTCTCACCCATGCACACCCCACATGGTTTCTCACTTACCATATACACCCAAACACACAGGAGAAGTGGAAGTTAAGGAGAGAAAGACAAAGAGAGAGAGAAGAAAGCAAGAACAGAAGGACCCATGTTTTCCATCATTCTAATTTTGATAATTGTAGAGATGTTGTATTCAGTTCATAATACATTTGTAACATTGTCAAAATATGACATATTCTGTTAGTTTATTAACTCAAAGTAAAATCATTTTTATTTGTTAAATAGTAGTTCACACACATTTTTGTCAACACCATCAGTTTTTGGTCAACACCGTCAGATATATGTTTTTGAATTTTTAAAAAGAAAATGTTTATTCTTACTTCACTTTCTGGTCTTCATGTAATAAAGACACATCTGATCTACTGACTCTTATGTCTTACTTATTTAAATAATTGATTTTTAGAACCTTAAAATCAAAGGCAGAGTTTTAAAATAGGTATTTTTAGAGATCCAACTTTTCTTAAAAGTGTAAAATTACAATTACAGTTTATATTGTGAATATTATTACATATACGTGTAACTAAAACCTATTACAATATAGTTTAGACCTTTAGATTGTTGTTGGACTCCATAAATTAAAAGCACATTCTTTTTAGTGTGTCTGATGGAGTTGACACAAATCGAGTTCTTACTCTAAAAAAGTGAAATTGTTAAAAATATGTTTCTTATTTAGAACCTGCACCTTTACATGGCTATATAGCTTAGACTTTACTCTACACAAATAGATCATTAAAATGAATATAGTGTACATTTAAAAAAACTATGTTTTAAAACCTGTTTTGTCCCGACTCTCAAGAATGAGTGATGGACAATTTGAAAGGCCTTTATTTTGGAAGGCAACATCAGAATGACTTGATATTGATATGGTATCACTGTGGGGTTGTATACTGTTGATCTAAAGTGGAATTACCCTGTGGAAACAGCAACTTTCCATTTTAGAGCATTTTGAAATCGTTAAAGGTAGGTCAATTATGGACAATTTTAAAAGGCCTTTATTTTGAAACGCAACATCAGAATGACTTGATATTGATATGGTATCACTGTGGGGTTGTATACTGTTGATCTAAAGTGGAATTACCCTGTGGAAACAGCAATTTTCCATTTTAGAGCTTTTTGAAATTGTTAAAAGAGTCGGTCAAATATGGGCAATTTCAAATTGCTGTGGTTTGATAGTGTTGATACAAAATGTAACTGCTCTTTCAAAATATGACTTTTGCTTTTAAAAGCATTCTGAAGTAATTGAAAGAGTAGTTCAAAAATGAAAATTCATAGGGCTTTTACTTTGAAATCCAAAATAAGATTCCCTTGATATTGACAGGGCGCTAATAGTGAACAAGCCTAAATTATTTGTTATTATGTTCTTAAAATATCTGATAATTCACTCGAAGTTGAATTTTATTTTGAAATCCGGTTTCCACATCCATTCCCCTGATAGCTTGAATAGACAGGAAACAGAAAACAAACTGGAGGCTGGCTTAACTGCAAGTCTCCAACTGGAGGCTGGCTTGACACCAGTACTTTTTTTTGCGGTCAATAGTTCAATTTGATCTGCTAGTTAAAAAGTTTCTTGTGAGGTGAAAAAGAAGGAAGCAGGCAGGAGTTTTTTTCTTGAGGACTGGGAGATGCAGGAAGATCAGAGAGACAGGACAGGAAGATAGTAAAATAAAAACCAAGAAAACAAAACAAAGTTCTTAAAAAATAAAATGTAGGTAGATTTATCCCACTACACGTTTGTACCTGTATAATGCAATAATTTATCAGCATGTAGTATTTATATAGTTGATACAATTCAGATCATCTTCAAAACTCTGCCCCATGCCCAGGGACGTATCTAAGCATTTTGGGGGCCGAGGCAAAATAGACCCCTGCCAGGTATTTTAAGTTGAAGTGCTATCTGCTTTTATATTAGACTTTTTCTATTTGCAATAAAGTCCAAAAGTGAATAATTTATGTTATTTATTACTTGGTTGTTCAAGCTACCTCACAGAAGTGATGTGTTGTTAAAAATTTAAAGAAAAAGGTAATTAAGTAAAAAATAAGGAACATTCTGGAACCGTTTCTTCCTTTTCTTTATTTTTATTTTTTTACGTATCGAACGTGTCGGATCGGGACTCGGAATCAGCAGAGTCTCAAAATCAAATGACTCGGACACAAGGGCAAAAAAACCTGATCGGGACATCCCTACTTTATGGATGTGTCTAGAAATTCTGCCAGTAAAGCAATTGAAAAAAACTGTTGACAAGTGGCATCCAAAGTACCCAGAAAGAGTCTGTCATGGATTTTATCAAGACGTTTACCAATTAACCCATTTCCTGGAGTCGAAGAGAAAAGGGACAAGAAACAATGAAGCAGACATACAACCAAATCATGATTTAGTGTTAAGTGCACAGTGCAAATGCCCTGTGTAGAGAAGACGTCCCTACATTTAATTAGAAACCATAAAATGTGAAATATCACGAAGTATGAAATATCACCTTAATGGATCTTTAAGTACATTTATTCAGAAGATCAGATCTTTTTTTTTTTTTTGCAGGGATTGAGCAACGCTTCGTATTAACTTCAAGAAGAGAGTGAGTCAAGTTTTAAAAGTTTCAAGATTACTAAACAAATTAAAACTCGACTAACTTAACACTAAACGTATGGTGTAACTAAGGTGAAGTAAGACTGAGAATGGTGTATGTGTGAATATGTTCAGAACCAGCAGATCCGGAGAAACGATTAGTTCTGAAGGGAGTGAAGATGATGTTTCACGCTAAGCTTGGTTGGAGATTTATAACACACATTGAGACGTCATTCTGCCGGCCTACATACCCTTTGCGGAAGTCCCCGTTAGATCAGGAATGTCGAGGTCCAGCTTGACCTTCTCTGGAACCGAAGCCGGTAGAAAAAACAGCGGTTGCCGACCAGACCAGTCTTGAGATACTTCTGGGTCATGACAGTTTTATTGGCATCTAGCGAAACCAAAAAAGGGGGTCGTAATGGTTCAGCTTTTATTCTGAAAGGAACCGTTGCAGCAGGTGGAACGTGCAACAGATTTAATCCAGCTTGTCGATGGTTCTTTCGGCTGAAGAGGAAAGTTACGGATTGGCCACTCCGACGACTTCTCTAGAAAGCTTTGAACTGAGCTTAAGATGACGTGGGCATAGTTTTATAATTTGGATGTTTTGATTTACGGTCTAATCAAAAAGGGACAGATTTACCAAACACCAGCAAAACCACGCCTCGTGTCAGATCTGGAAGGCTCTGATTGGATCAACAAAAGGAAATGTGTCATGTGATTCTTAACATTACGTGTGATCAGTCTAGTGGAAACATTTAAAGTTATATTACTTATTATAACTACTGATCATAAACATTGTCATTTTACAGAATGGTTCACATTTTATTATTGGACTAACACTTTTGTTTGATTAGCTTTATTCAAATGTTTGATTAGCTTTATTAAAAATAGAGAAAGAATTCTTTGATTTACTAAAAGAAAGAGTCCTTTGTCTTCATTCTTCTCTTGAGCTGGAAAGGAAGAAACAGTTTAGGAGCAGAGCATTAGACCTTGAGCCATATCTCATGCAGATTAGGTTAGTGTCAGAAACTTTTGGTTCTATTTCATCTGGTCTTAGCCCTTAAGCTAGCTGCAATTGGAAGGATGATCTCAGCATTAGCCAATCATGAAGAGCTTAAATGTACGCCCACCAATGGTGGGCACCACTTGTGGGTATATAAGTGGAGTGACTCCACTGTTCGCCTCCGTTATCTCTTCAAGCCAAGCTTAAGAGCTTTCTTTAAAGAGCAAATTATCGAAGAAACAACATTCAACTCACCAGCCATGTCCAGCGACGCCAGGAACTGCCCGGCCTGCCAGACGGGCTCCATCTCAGCGGCGACCTGCACGCCAAGTGTGAGGTCTGTCTCGGGGCTCATCACGCTGGCCTGGCCTTGACCCCCCAGGCCTCATGCCCGTTTTGTGCCGCTCTGCCCGTGGCTGAAAGGTCCGCCGGGTCGAGTGCTTCACCCCTGCCGCCGCCGAGGAATTTCTGGTGGCTAACACATACTCGCTGGACAAGGCCTTGCAGTTCTTCGTCGTCGGTCAGGAGCTGGCTGGCTCCTCCCGACTGGACGATGTCATCGACAGTGAGGAGTACGACGAGGCTGGCTGCCATAGCCCTTTTTCCCTCCTGTACAACACGGAGGTCGACGAGCCTCGTGAGGAGTACGACGAGGCTGGCTACCATAGTCCCCTTTTCCCTCCTGTGCAACACGGAGGTCGACGAGCCTTGTGAGGAGTACGACGAGGCTGGCTACCATAGCCCTTTTTCCCTCCTGCACAACACGGAGGTCAACGAGCCTCGCTCAGCGGGTCCTCCTGCCCCAGTGGCTTCTAGCTCCTAACTGCTGGCAGGGAGAGCACTGCTCCAGGAGCTGCCCGCCATCATCTCCGCGGCCGCGGTCTGCAAGGGGCTAGCCGTTCCAGAACCGCCTCTGCCTGAGGCAGATGATTTGGTAGGAATTTTTGGGTCAACACAGACGCGCTGTCCAGACCCCGTCTGGCCGCGTTTCCCCGCTGCCATGAGCTGCTGGTCCGCCGCCTTCTCCGAGCCTGCTAAGCTCAAGGCGCCAGTTTCCACATATGCGCCCATTACCAAGGTCGAGTGCTTCTCCGACCTGGGCTGGCCATCCATTCCTCCACTGGAGCCGGACTTGGCCTCGCTGTGTGGCACCAAGAACCACCTCGCTGGCCCGCGAGCAGTTCCCGCTTCTAAGCATGACCAGCTGCTGACGCGGCTGACTGATCATGCACACCAGTGCACCTTCCAGACCGGCGCTGCAGGAAATAACATCGCCCTTCTTGCCTTTGGCATTTCCAAAATGGTGGAAGAGCTTGATGTACCTGACGAGTCAAAAACCATCATTATTAAAACTGCTGGTGCCATTCTCAATCTGTGCGCTGCTGTACTCACCAGTTCTGCTCGCATTGCTGCCTGGTAGACCCTCATCCAGCGGGCCTTGTGGCTCAAGGCTCTGCCCTCCATTCCTGATCACCTGCACAGGGAGATGCTGGAAGGCCCCATCACCTCTGACGTTCTGTTTGGTCCCCATCTTACGAGCGTCATCGAGAGGGCTCAGAGGGTGGCTGAACTGTCAGCCATGGTGCGAGAACTGGTCCACCCTCGGTCAGCCTCGCAATCCAGCCATTCCTCCAGAGGATGGGACGAATGGCGCAGAATCTTCAGGCGCCCAGCTGCACTGCCCGCCCCGCGGAGCCAGCCTCCCGCTGAGGTGGAACCGAAGCGGGACCAGGGAGTTGGTGGCCAACGGTTCCGAAAGAGCCAGCAGACGCCGTCT